TGTAAGCTTTTTTATGTACTTCCTTATCAAGCTAGATAAATATTGGGCCTCAGGAAGCTTCTGGGGCATTAAAACATGGGAAAGGCTATAAAGATAAAGTAAGAATTCAGGTAAAAGTTAAATTACATGAGTTCAATGAAGTAGTAGTAAAGACAGTCATTTCACCTTAAATACCTTTTTCCTGAATGTAATCAATCCTGTGTTCTGATTCTATGTGCTTGGCCTGCCTTCTACACACTCTTCAGGTCACTGGCTGGGGAGAGACTAAAGTGAGTGCGCACTTGCCAAGCGGGTAGGCATCATCTCACTCTCCATTTCTGAATGAGGAAACAGGTGTGCAGAGGCCAGAGCACTTGGCCAGCTCGCGCTCTCCTGAAGGGTAAAACCGGGACTTTATCCTGGCAGTTCAGCCCAGGGCTCTGCTACCACCTGCGCACCGCATGCACCCAAACCGCAGACATGCTGCTTGCCCTGTCTCGCCTACTTTAACAGGGCTCCCACATCATTGAAGAAATATGACCCAGTTCCTCTGCCATCATCAAGTCTGGGCAAGTGTGAAGGGACATCTCGCGCCAGGCCTGGAGACGAAGCAGGCTCAGGTTCTGTGTATGGCTTCACATGTGTGGAATCCTGATCCCCGAGAGCCTTTCAGGGGAAAGTAAAAACTGCAGGAAATCTTAGAAGGAAGCAATCAAGAGAACAGTTGCTGAGAGAGGGGGTACAGGATAGGCAGAAGCAGAGAGGCTACTCTGGAGCCAAACCAAAAGGATAAAGGTAAATCTTTAAAACACTTAAAACAAAATTTCTGTTCAGGACTAAAATTAGGACCCAGCAACAAAAGGCAAGAGTGTGACAACATTCTGCTCCAGCCACAGGTTTTGTGTGAGGTGGGCACTAGCTGATTTACCAATAAGTGCTTCTTCCAGACACCTAGGGTGATTTCTTTTAAAAAGACCAAGGTGGTTTCATCCTTCACCTTGAGATTATTCAGGTATGTATGTGTTTAATGTCACTATAAAGGGAAATCCTAGGTTGCATTAAAGTGATTAGTATCTTTTTATATGGGAAGAGATTCTATGAAGCATATTGAGGACTCCTCAGCGAATATACATCTCACAGAGAATTTTTATAAATGCCAGTCCTTCTGAAATGTCTCCCTTTAGCATCTATGAATATGGATACACTCAGCTAACATGAAACACTGCTTTTCAGGAAGATATTTCTCTGTGTTTCCGTTCAGCTCCTGCCCCACCGTCCACCAGATTCCCCACTGCTGCCTCTTCTTCCTTATAATTTACCCCTATTTCCTTACACTCTTCCTTTCAATTTCAGTTTATCTTTCTAATCCCTTCACATTATTCAGTTAAAGCTGCCTTCTCTTGCTCCGCTCACAGCTGCTTCTTTTATCCACCATCTCTGTCGGCCTTTTTGCGAATTTCAGTCCGCTGAATCTCCACACATCCTGACTCTTGTTTCTGACTCTTGACCCTGCTGTGTCCTACTTCTCTTCCTGGACCCTCTGTCCTCGTCATGGGCTACACACTCTCCAGGCCTCCAGGGAGGCAGTGCTACCTGCTCCCCAGGTCCCCCACTGTCCTTCCTGATCCTCACTCCCTATTCTCGTCTGTAGTATTGATTCGATTCCAAAAGTTGTACAGATCTATGGAGCAAACGAGACTTACATATGAATGTTTTACTTGCCAGGGTTCAAAAAGATAATAAAGTGAAAAAGAAAAAAAATTAAGGGCATGTGAAAGAAAATCACAAGGTTAACAAAAAAAATGCATAAATCTCAGATATATTTTGCTGTGGTACAACGTTAAAGTTCAGAGCACTCTCTTAACTACTCATAACTAAGTTTATAAACTGAGATTTAGAGCTAATAACCCAAGCTTATAAACTAAGATTTTTAGTTCATAAAAGAACAGTAGCTTGAAAGACAATAAAAAGAATGCAATCAACTAATAAAAGTTGCAAACAGAGTTTTGTTGTGGTGTTTTGTAAAAAATACTGTTCTTATTCTGCCCTACAGAAAACTTTACGCAAAGGGTTAAAGAGAAAAAGAAAAGCAACTGATCAATCAGAACCCTCATGTCCTAATAAAAGTAACAGTGGCAATATTAACGTGTTTCTATAATTTTAGAATTTGCCTAAGTATGTTTATATGTGACATCTGTGTTTGAAACTCACCTTATGAGGTATTGGTAGAGCAGAGGCTACTGTGTATGTAATCATTGAGGAAAACCAAAAGTTACTGATCTTTTCTGATGTTCATTCATTAAAGCCATTATTTGTAGCAGTGCATAAGCTTGATATAGTTTTTATGTTTCACTGCAATATTAATAATAGTCAATTATTCCTCATCAAACACCTATAATCAAAATATTGTTGTGTTGAAAATGGATCAATTAAATTTATAACTCAAATTTTTCTAACTTTTGTATTCTATAGCAAAGCACAGTGGAAAAACTACTACTCTTAGCTTTGAGAAGTTTCATACATACATACCCATGGATGTATAGACACATAGACACAAATACATTTATGTGTCTAAAGTTTAATGTTGCCTAACTATTGAACTAATATTGAACTAATATTAACTATTGCTAATATTCAGGGGGACCTAAACACACATATATAAGAATGCTTCATTTCTTACATTAATTTCTTTCCTATTCAAGTAACTTATAAAGTAGAACAAATCACTGAGCATATTTGGAAATGTCAGTAGTACCTGCCCTAGCCACTTTCTTTGATAAATATGGCATTTGCAAAAGAGAAGCAGCAACAAAGACAAACTCTGTCCAACACTGACTACAAAATTCTGATATGTTTTTTCCTGACAGTTACTCTTGACAGAAAATAAAATCAAAGTAATACAAGATTTTCTGATTCACCTTTATACATGGAGTACATCTGCATAAAACAGTGATTGAACTTTACAGTTCAAATAATTATCATAAAAAAATACATAATCTTACTCTTCAACCCATCTTCTTTTGAAACACTAGCTCTGATAAGGTAGAATTTCAATTTGAAGTATACATTTTTTTAAAGTCTCATTAGAATATTTTTTCATTTCAGTTCGTATCTGACAAGTCTCTCATAATTATCTTGCAAACCAAGTAAGAAATATGAGTGGGAAGGAGATAGTGTTCACATCCACTGTACTTGATCTAATTATTATGTCACAAGAACACCCATGGTAGAAGAGGGGGCAGGCTGTGCAGGCCTTACACAGCATTGCCTGGCCCTGCTCCGATTAGATTTATTAATGATTTCAACAAGTTATTAAATTTCAAGGTGATATACAGCTGAGAGCGACTTCACTGGAAAATAGGATTCAAATTCTTTTTGTTTTCTTCATTTTTTTTTTGTCTTGGACAGGGTCTCACTATGTACTCCAGGCTTGCCTAAACTTGTGATCCTCCTGCCTCGTCAGCTGAATGTGGAGATAACAGACGCATTGCACCATGCCTGACTCAAGTTCTTCAACAACAATAACAACAACCATTACAGTAACACAACTTCCAAGCAATAAAATGATATTAAGAACTAAAGTCCAGAAGATAAAAGTAGTAACACAATAAAGATCATTTCTTACTCTTTGATTAAAAAAGGCAATAGTTCAACAACAGGACAGGTGAAGATCTGATTTGGCAGAAGTTTTCTTTAAAATAAAAATGGGGAACCTTTAATTTACCTCATGTCAGCACAAGTTGAAGTTGTGGTATGAGACAAGAAGCATTGACTCAATTTAGGCTTCAGCAGAAGAGACTTGTCCATGGTAATTAACCTACATGCACATTTCTTTCTATTCTAAATGAGACCACATGTATGGGGTCCCACTTTTGCTACCAGAAGGTCAGTGAATGTTTTCTTGCAAAAGACTATCAGCCTGGAAGGGCATCAGCAATCCACATAAGAAGAGAAAGAGTAGAATTGGGATTTTGTGAACCTCATAAAAGATAAACCTTGATAAAATATATCACTGGGGTTTAAACATTTGGAGGACTCCTAGGTATTTTAGGAACCATACTCATTTACCAGAGGGCAGAATGGAAAATAATAATTGAGAATGATCTAAAAATAGATGTCAGGTTAATATGCCAGGACAATAAAAGAAATCATGGGATCTACAGTCAGAAGCCCAAGTTCAGGCAAGTCACCTAAATTCATAGGTTACATAATCTTCATCATCATCATCATCATCAATAATCATTCCAGAAAGCATATTAAATGTTCTGAATCTTCAAAATGATTTGAAAATAGTAATAATAGTAAGCCACCAGAACAGAGTGTCTAGTATTCAAGTCAAACCAGCCAGCCTCCACAGCACCCACCACAGGGTCTCCTTTTTCTGAAGAATGATGGGGCTGAGATAGACTAAAGACAAAAGGTCCCTGTAATGCTTCCAATTGCAATTACAATTTATTCACTCACTCTTTTATCTCTGTTAAAGTCAAGAAATAGTAATGAAAGGAGAGTTATAAAGAGTAAACAATGTCATTAATTTGGCTAAATAATGTAGTTGTGATGGTTAAGCTTAATTGTCAGTTTGGTTGACCGCTAACCATGGACTGAATTCTCGGAAACTATGAACCAAATTAAACCTTTCTTCTTTTCAGTTGTGGGTGTTGAGTATTTGTCTCCACAGTGGGAAAGCTGATCCATACAGCAGTTTTTATTGAAGTAATGAATGGACTGCACTTCTACAAAGATACTCATTAATTTAACTGAAATACAGGAAATATAACCCAAGTTCTCTAAATCAGATGAGGGCTGATTGTTTTTATCCAAATAATTTACCCCTATACTTGTGTTGCCAATCTTGAAAATATCTACAATTTTCTGAAATACAACCTCTCTAGTTTTAAGTTTCAGACACTGGAGAGCTGATATTTTTATAATGCCCATCTGCTTGCTATAGTTTGGTATTTTTTTTTAAATGACTGTCTTCTGAATTAGTAATATTTATCAGTTGTTCCAAATTTACTTACCCTTTGACCTTCTTTTCCAGGTGGACCTTGGGGGCCCTGCATCCCTAAGGAACCCTATGAGAAAAAAGGGACAACATGTTAATAGGGTCTTTGAACTATGCCTGCTTCACAAAGGGTGTTGTGAAAATTAATGCTCTTTTCACTAATTAAATGAAACTTTGTGACTGATTTGAGATCTTCTAAATTTAAATTGTGCAATATATTAATAATGATGAATTCCCCCTCACTGTCTGGTTTATCTTTGCAACTAACTCCAAGAAAGAATAAAAAGTAGTTCCAAATCAGGTGTGAAATGAAGCATACCAGTTAAAATACCCCATGCCTTCAGAACCACATTTTACCGACTTACCACCAATACATTGCAACAATATTTGCAAGCAGAAAAAATACCACTTTGTAATGTTCACCTTTATAAATAAAAATGCACTTTTGGTTGAGAGTAGTTTTCTAAATATCTTTTAGGAAAACACATGATTATAGATTTGGCTTCAAACATACGTCCATGACATTTAACTTTTAGTATCATAGAGATTATTTAATGTTTTCTCATTATATTGGTAAGTGATAGGGAAGGTATTTTTTTTCCAGATCATAAAAAAAAAGTCTCAGGAAATCTCAGGTGTTGTTAGTTTGGAAGTCAGGTTTCTTGATCTTTATAAATATTTACTGTTATACAAGAATTCCTCCTCAGCAAGAAACTCAAAGTGCTTTTCATGCTCTGTTTTACTCTTCAGCAGTTATTATTCCATTTCCTTTGTCTTTATAGCTGCTTGCTTCTTCCTTTCATTGTCAACCTGCAACCTTAAATGTGGGGTATTTTTAGGGTTGTTTTCTTCTTGGTTCACATTCTCTTACCATGGTCTCATATACTACTGGCTTCAGATTCTCTAAACCAATGATCCCTAGGTTTATTTATTTTTTATTTTTTGGTCTTTTTGGGACAAGGTCTGGCTTCAGGCTGGCCTTGAGAGTTCGCTTCTCTGATTGCATATGAGCTGCCCGTTTTAGTGTCAGAATGCCTTGTATTTTTCCATTCCAGTTCTTATCATAAATTCACGTAAGGGACTGTTCAGGAAATGGTAGCCCAGGCTGGTCTTGAACTCTCAAGGATCCTCCTGCCTCAGCCTCCCAAGTGCTGGGATTACAGGTGTGCGCCATCACACCTGGCTTCCTAGATTTATAACATCAGTTTGTTTTCTGAGTTGCATGCAGATGCAACATTCAGTTGCCTGTTTGACATAACCACCTCCCTCACGGGCATCTCAGATTTAGTACACTCAGCACAGAAGTGAGGCTGCTTCCGCAAGACTGGACTCTCTTCCAAACTTCCTAACCTCAATAAATTCACACAGTACTCTCAGTGCCCAAGTTAGAAATCTAGAACTCAAACTCCATACTATCCTCTTTCAAACTTACACCTCACATCTAGTTACCAAGTCTGGTTGATTTTTATCTCCAAAGCATGGCTGGATCTATTTCTCTCCATCTCTACCTCCGCCGGTATCTCTTCTTGCTCATCTCAAGATCTTCCCAGTTAACTTCACATCACAGCCAAACTGATCTTAAGAAAACCCAGTTTCGCTTCTCTGATTGCACATGAGTTGCCCGTTTTAGTGTCAGAATGCCTTGTATTTTTCCATTCCAGTTCTTATCATAAATTCACGTAAGGGACTGTTCAGAAAATGGTTTATTTTTCTCACCAGGTCTGAGCTGCTGTAAATAGAATCTGTGTCTAACTCATCATGATATGCATCTGTTAAAGTCTGAATGGGAGCAACTCACACATTCCAGTTAATCCACTCTGTGTTTTTAGCTAAGATGCAAAAGGTTTCCCAAATCTCTATAATTAGTAAATGTACTAAAAGTGGTTTGGAATCAATGAAAAACTCTAGTAGTACATATTCAAAAAAAGCGGAATTCACCCTAATTCTAGAAGCAACATTTCTGTGTTATCTAATTTAAAAATGATTGGCATTCTTTATTTTTTATTTTTGGTACTGAGGGTTGAACTTGAGGCCTCAGGTAAGCATTCACCAGACTCTTAGAATTCATTTTTATAATGTGACTTTTTCCTTTAAAATCATTAGTATCTTGAAACTAAAATAATAGATATATTTATAATGATCTATATTATTTATTATGTATGTATCCATTTTAAATTTTTTCACATTATAGTTTTATAAGTGCCATATTTATAATTTTACCATTTGATTCTACTTTGAATAGAAAAATGATAGACATTTCAATATTTCATTGAGATAGCTTTCATTTGGCTAAAGTTGTCTGGATTCAACATTAATTATTGTACCTAATTTTCTGTTTTTTGTTTTTTTTTTTTTTTTCCTCCGGTACCGGGAACCGAACTCACGACCTTGCACTTGCCAGGCAGGCGCTTTTGCCACTGAGCTAAATCCCCAACCCCTTGTACCTAATTTTCAAAGAGCATTCAGTACAAAAATGCTGCATGTGTCACCAATTTGCATTGCCCAGATCTTTGACTCCTTCACAATAGATGAATAAAGTTTATGTGTTTATTGTTTCCATTCCTTTTATCTGTTTTTGAACAGTTTCATGCTGCAGAAGCCTATGAAAACTATATTTTACTGATTTAGGTATGAATAAAAGCCAGGGAATGAAAAAAAAATCAGTTCTTTTTGCAGTTAAAAAAAAATTAAATGATACATAACCAAGGAAACTTGGCTAACTAAATTTTTGGATAGTACATTTCTAGTGTTCATAAGAAAAACAAATATTAAAATCCAAGTATACCAAATATTAATTAAAATATAATTACAGGGAGTTGTATCATATTTTATAAGACTGACACAATTTTGGCTCTAGATTAAACTCTTCCCTTTTACCCTGAAGAAAACATCATTTCATGAACAGTCAAACATTTTTGATATTTGTCTAAATGTGGATACCCCTCCCTCTCAGGATTTTTAGATAGCAGTTACTAAAAGACACACACGTACAATGTCATCAAGGGAATATGTTTAATTCTGAGAAATGTAGTTAAAATTACTTCCTTTACTGATTACTCCCTTACTAATTGGGAGAATTATAAAGTAAAACTCTGTAACATATAAAATTATTATATTTTATTTGTCATATATGCACATGGTTAAATATAGTTAAAAGAACATTTTGTGTGCAAGATCCAAGTACTAAGATATGGCAACAATTCCATACTTAAACCCACTACCATGTCTTTGAATGTGTTCCATTCTGAAACCCCTCTTTACTTTTGCTAAGTCTAGGACCCAGCTAGGAGTTTGATAAAAAAATTGGAAATTCTTTCTAATCTTCAACTGATGATTTAATATTATAATTATCCACGACTTATTTTTAATTCTAGCCATATTTCCCTAATGATCAGAACATTTTTCAACTGTCTTTATTGAACATTAGTTGACATTTACAAAGAAAAACAACCTTCATATTGTCATCAGTAAAAGACAGATCAATCAACTATATAAAAATCCCATATTTCTCAAAGTAAGAAATTATAACTTGAGGATAAGCCACTATTTATAATTATCCAGATCACTACTCCTTCCATTTAGTAAGGTCAAATAATGGGTTTATTTGTTGCGTACTGTGAAAATTACTGATAGACCTAGTTTAGCTCTAGTTTACCTAAATTAAAATTGGGTAGAGATTAACATTTGTCTCAGAACCCTTGCCATTTTTATTTCTTAATCTGACTTTGTAAATATCTCTATGTGCATGGGATATTTATTCTTTTAACTGAAAGTGAGTTCTATCAAATAGTAGCCCTTTTTTGTACTATCCTTCAGCTCATTTATAGAAGAGACTTAATAGACACTTGGTATACACGGTCATAAGAGGTACAGCAATACTGGTGTTGGTGTCAGGGAATAGTTTATTGCTTTACATATAATTATTTTTATTATTGTAACTTGGACTTCAGTGATACACTTACAAACTTTAAATCTGATTTGTCTTATTCTAAAGTGATAATCTCATTCTCTTATGTTTAAGATTTTCTTGTATGAGTTCATTTAAGAATAAATCATTTATAAACTAACTTTTCTCTATTTTTAAACTCATTTACTTCTTTGATAACTACCTGATGCTTTATACATTTGGATAATTTGCCTAGAGAATCATGTTCTTACATATCTTTGTACACATGGTATGTTGTATTATCTATGCAGGTGCTCTTGGACTTAATTTGGCAAAGAATGTCTATTTTTCTATTTTTCTCATCTACTTAATCTGCTATAAAAATAACTATAACTCAAGTTATTTCTAAAATTTTGCAAACATACAGATTTATGACTCTTTGAAAGAAAAACGACAAAATATTTAGTATTTTGAAAATGTAAACCTCTGCATATGTCTAGATAGTCAAGCATTTTTTGTGGAATGGAATTCTGGATATTAAAATGCTGAAAAAGAATGAACTTCAGAAGGCTATTACTACTTTCTGCTAAGATAAAAATATGTAAAAAAATAGCCTGAGGCAGCCAAACCATTTTAAATGCCAGTAGATCGTGATTACAATGTGTTGTATTTCACATATCACTCTCTGGACAATGTGCTGATTATTTAAGACAAGCTGAGGCTTATCATCATGGAAGACCATGTAAATATTTAACTGAGAAATTACTTAGAATTAAATGGTTCAGAAAAAAATCTCTGAAGTGTTTAACAAATATAGCAGATGTTGAGTAGAATTAACAGAGAAGATTAATTGCATTTGAGCATATTTTCATTTGGGAAAAGAGGCAAGATATATTCTTAATTTTTCAGTCAAGGAAGGGAGCTAAAGTAAAATGGAGACGTTTCATTCTTAAAGTATTATTTGCACTACCTTGTTAGGAACGTTGCAGTACATACGATACCTAACATCCACTTCAACAAAAATGTGATGAGAATAAGTATATTTCCACTGTTATGAGTATTACTTTAAAATATGCTTCATAGACTTAATAAAATTAAGCAGAATCTGCATAAATTATTGAATTACTACTAGGGAATTTCTGTCCTTTTTTTTAAAAAAAGATAGCATCTACAAAGTCAAAACA